GATGGGGCCGCTGAGGTGTGGGGCGGGGGACGGAGCCCCCCGGGCCGCGGGGAGCGATGTGGCCCTGCAGAGCCCGCGGGCAGCCCTGCCCGAGGGACCCCCCGTCCTGTGTCCCCCCACAGCACAAGCAGCCTGGGCAGGGCTGGGGTCAGCCCAGCCCTGAGAGGAGCGCGGGCCCAGCCGAGTGTGACGAGTTCAGCTCCTTCCTCTACTGGAGACCCCCCCTGCCCAGCATCGAGGAGGAGCTGCAGGAGCTGCTGGTGAGGCCCGGAGCCTCCTCCTCCCTCCCTGCCCTGCTGTCTGACCCGAGCACAGCACGGGCCGCCCCTGTTTCCTCCCCCCAGAAAGCTCAAGCCGTCTCGGTTGTTCCGGAGGCCACTGAGGAGCACCAGAGCGCTGAGGATGGAGCCAGTGCTGAGGAACAGGAGGACGAGGAGGAGAGTGATGATGAGGGTTGGATAACACCCAGTAACCTCAAGCAGGTCCAGCAGGACACAGGGCACTGTGACACTGCTCCCGTGGACATTCAGGTCGGCTGTATCACCACTGACTTTGCCATGCAGGTGGGTGCCGTCCTGGGCTTGGGAGCACAGGGGGGCTCAAGGTTCCCAAATGCCTGGGCTGGTTAAACCAACACACAGCAGGCTGCTGGGTCCCTGGGGCAGCGGGGCAGGGTGAGACCAGCTGTGACATCTCCTTCTCTCTGCCAAGAATCAGCCAGTTCAGAGGCCTCAGTGATGCTGTTGCTTCCGTCTCAGCCTCTTGCAGCCTGGGCTGGCAAAACCACCTCACAGCTCCTGGCAGTCCTGGCTCAGGGCCTTCCTGGTTTCTCCCTTGTTGCAGAACGTGCTGCTGCAGATGGGCCTCCACGTGCTGGCAGTGAACGGGATGCTGATCCGCCAGGCCAGGAGCTACATCCTGCGCTGCCACGGCTGCTTCAAGTGAGCCCGCCTGGGCCGAGCGGCCTGCGGGGGGTGGTCCTGCCCCTGGGCTCGGCCTCAAGTCAGGAAAGCCTCCATCTCCATCTTGCAGGACCACTTCAGACATGACCAAGGTCTTCTGTCCCCACTGTGGTAACAAGACGCTGAAGAAGGTGGCAGTGAGTGTCAGTGAGGACGGGAGCCTCCACATGCATTTCTCCCGCAACCCCAAGGTGCTGAACCCCCGGGGGGTCAGTGTGAGTCCTGCCTGTGACCAGCTGGCCACGTGCTCAGTCCTCTGGAGGCCTGTGGTCATCTTGAAGTCCCTCTGAGCACAAGTCAGCCCTCCCCCTGCTCCTTTCTCCCGGCCATTACCCGCTGCCGGCCCCGCGGGGCGGGAAACACGCCAACAACCCCCACCTGGTGGAGGACCAGCCCTTCCCGCAGCAGCGACTGTCCCGCAAGGCCAGGCAGAAAACCAACGTCTTCGACCCCGACTACCTGGCCGGGGTCTCTCCCTTCGCGGAGAACGACGTCTGCAGCCGCGCTGCCAACCTGCAGATCCGGGACGCGGCGCTGGGCGCCGGCAGGAGACGCCTCAACCCCAACGCTGTCACCAAGAAGTTTGTGAAGAGGAGGTGAAGGGCAGGACGGGCCCTCCCGGCTGCGCCTGCCCACGCTCAGACACTGCTGCACCAGGAGGGTGAGGCCTCTCCCAGCTCCTTGCCGAGGCAGCTGCTGCCAGGCCTTTCCTTCCTGCTTATCTGGGGCCTGAGGAGTGGCCAGTGACTGCGGGCAGCAGTCGCTGGTTCTGGGGGGCTCTGGCCCAGGTGAGGTGGCTGTCCCGTGCTCAGCCCTTGGGCAGCCCAGGCTGGGGCTGCTGTGCTAATAAACACCACACCCCCAGCATGCGGCTCCGTCTGGTTTCTGCAGCCACCTGTGCCAGCCTCGCAGGCCGGGCTGTGCCTTCCTCTGAGTCCTGAGAAGGAAGAGGAGGGGTTTTTAGAGGGTTTTCTTCCGTCCCATGAGCAGGAAAAGACTTTCTCTCAACACTCATTTGCAGGCTGGGTTTGGGTAGCGAAGAGGCTCCTAACATTGGTTACTCTGGCCTTAACTCCACGAAGTCAGAATGCAACATGCAGTGTTTTTCTAAAAGTGCACACACAGCACAGGACCCTGCCCCTGCAGCAGCCCCAGCGGGATGCACTGCAGGCACAAACCATCCCAGGCTCCTGCCATTCCCATGTTTCCTCACCTAAGCACCATGTGGTACCCACATGGCTTGATCCCATCCTACAGAACAGACACCTGCTCCTGGCACAGAGAAGATGTCCTTGAAAAAAACACAACAGGACTTTACACTGCAAAATGAAAACTTTCATTGTTTTATTCTTGACTGCAGCTGTTTACAGAAATATAGTTGCGAGTATACAAATGTCCCAATAGAAGCAAAATATTTTCATTTTTTAATATTCAACAAGTTATCACAGGATAGCTAAAAACATAGATGCAAATGAAATATCCCCTCATGGAACAAACTGAAAACACCAGGTATCAGTGCTTTGAAAACCCCAACTACCAAAGCCATATACACAGAAAAGCACAAAGGAGTATCTGGTGCTACTCTCACGTTGCAGGAGGGGGGAAGAGGCAGCTCAGCGGTCACTCGGTACCTGCAGAGCACGGTGGGTCACCCCACGGGTGCAGCTGTAACACAGGTAGAAAGCTCTGCTCTTGACTTTTTGGGGTTTTTTGGAGCTTACTCGTTCATCACGAGCTCAGATGGAAAGAGTTCAAAGGGCCTCGTTTCCAATGGTGTCCAGAATTTAAAAAAAAAAAAAAAGGCTTCATAGAATCATCTTGGTTGGACAGGACCTTTAAGATCATCAAGTACAACCATTAACCCAACACAACCAAGTCCAGTTTTCTACCACCCAGATGTTTCATACTCTTTCACTTTCCAAAGTGAGCTCCCCCCTCAGGGCTGTTATCCTGACCCCCAGGACTGCCCCACTCCTGCCTGGGACCCCCTGCCCCAGGGACACTCGGTGGGGCAGCTCCAGGGGTAGAGGAGGCCTCAAGGCTGTGTACCAGGACCCTTCACTGATCTAACTCTGGAACACATCGGGACGTTTGGTGGGAGTTGGAGTGTTGGAGTCTGAGCCAGGCACTGGCAGAGAGTGTGAGGGAGGGTCCCACAGCAGGCAGGGAGACCAGCAGATCCCTCATCCTTGGCTTAATGCCCTTGAGTGTTAGGAAGCAATTCCATCTAACTCTAACAGCCCAAACTCTAGATGAGCATCTCTGGAGCAGCCAGCTCCAGGAGGAGATATGAGGAAGTTCCCCTGCAGTTTGGCAGAGGTGCTCTGAGGTGCCTGTACCAGGACAGTGATGTCCAACCATCATGTCACTGCAGTGGAACACACCTGGCCTGGCATGGTGGCCAAGCACATGATTCTACAGTCTGTATTTCTTTCAGAGAGTTTGATTTCTCACACAAGCTGTCAGAAAATGTTTCTAGTCAGGGCAGGGTTTCCTACAGCTACAGACCACAGAGCTTCCCACAGCTTCAAGGAGAGAGTTTTCTAAATACTGATGGTTACAGTACAAAGTCAGTTAAAAAAAGTAAATTCACCGATGCCTGCGTTGATCAGAGTGGAGAGAAGAGGAATGACAGATTAATACAAACCCACCCAGCTGAGCAGCAGCTGGATCCTTTGCTATTCCAGAATGACTAACAACCCCCATGAGGAGAGAGCTGCTGGCATCAGCCCAGCTCCTCTGGAGCAACACGGCCACCAGCATTCCCTGTCAGCACGAGCTGCTGGGAGACTGGGAACGGGAAAGGTCCCAAAGTCAGGAACTGATTTGGGAAAGCTGGCAGGGGAGCAGGGGGAGGCAGGAGTCCCGGGCTGCCCCAGCCCAGCTCGTGGGCAGGCTCTCCTCCAAGGCTGCCACTTCTACATAACACCACTTCTGCCATTACTAATAAAAATATATAAAAATACAAAAGTGTGGAGCTGTTTTACAGCCGGGGCATCGGTGACAGTCACAAGCAGAGCGAGTTTCTGGAGCAACATGTACAGTACTGAAAGGCTGATACAACTACTAATGAGTTACTACAAAAACCTGGGTAAATAACCTCATACTAAGAAAAAGTAACATTATTTCATGTTTATAAAAATGTAAATATAACCGTATTATATGTGTCTACTAATTCTTTATATATAATAGATATATGATTCCCCTATATACATATATATAACCCTAGAATATACAGGCTTTGCATATTTACACACCTATATAGATTATAAAACAGGAAAAGCCTCTTCTCCTGTGGAACCCTCACTGTGGGGACACTTCCACAGGAGTTCAGCCCCTGCTGTGCTCTCCCTCCCCCCCTAACCAGCCTGTCTCCCTGCTCAACTCCAGGGCACAGGCTCAGGTCAGGGCTGTCACATCCAACTGGCAGCCCTGGTCTGAACACCAACATGAAGTGGTGACAATCTGTCCCAAAAAACGACTCCAAATTAAGACTGAAAGCCCAAACAAAGTATGTCAGTACCAGCTTCCTTTTAGCTTCTAAAATAAGAGCTGCCACCAGCTCTGTAGAGGAAGGGGATTCAAACACTGACAGTTGTGCTCCAGCATCCAATGCAGGTGCCCGTGTGTGCCTGCACACACACCTGCACACACACCTGCACACCCAGGGGAGCTACATGTAGCTTTTTTTAGTTCAGTAACAATAATAATTTTTTTTTGCTTTTTAATAAGTCACTTTTCTTGCTACTCAAAGAGTGATTTCAACATTGTTTTAAGACCAATGCCAGCTCCTGACCTGCCTGGTGTTCTTCTGAGGACTCTGGAAAAATATTAAGGAAGCAGAAAATCTATTCAGACAAGTTTGTTGGGTTTTTTTAGTAACTATATCCTAAATCAAAATCACAAGAGAAGCTTTTTTTTTTAAAAAAAAAAAAAGTTCAGCTGTTCTAAATGAGGGGAATGTCCCTGATACAAATGCCCAGACTCTCACTATTTCCTGCAAGTTGCAACGCTGAACTGTTCATGCTTTAGTTTATCTTCAACTTAAAGAGATGTAACCACCCTGTTGTCAGTACTTCAATTATAATGAAAGGCCTAGATATTAAACATCTGACTGAAAGAGCAAGGCTGAAATTATTTCTTGAACTATTCTTATGTTAAATTAACAGCAAAACATTCAGCTTGAGTAACGGCTGAGACCAGACATGAAGAGGCAATTAATAACAAAATGTGGACTTGCTATTTAAAGCACCAGTAACTTCCTACCAGAGGAGATGTTGAGCTAATAACTGTGCACTGGGTGTGCTCTCTCTGATTTGTGTGCCCATGTACACACACACAGCATATGAGGGGAGGGGGGGTCACAGCAGCAGCCCCAGAAGGTTTGTGTCCCCATCTGTGATCTTCTTTCTCAACCACACCTCACCCTAAGAGCAGCCCCTGATCTCTAGACAGGCCCCCCTGCTCCCAGCCAGCAGCACGGGGGAGGAAACACAGGAATTTAAAAAAAAAGAAAAAGGCAGAGTAAGCTCCAATTACGACCATCCACTGGTTACATCCCAGGAGTTGATGTTCAGGACTCTGAGACAACGCCCATGTGGCTCACACTGTTCTGGGCTCTCTGGCCATGCCACCCTGCAGCCTGCCTTCAGCCCCTGGCAGGCCTGGCCCTGCCCTCTGTGCCAGGACCTGCCAGCAGCCCCAGCACTGAGCAACCACTGAGCAACCTCTTCCTTCCTAAGACAAATACTTTTTGTAACCAAATCACATGATCAACGTGTTGTACATTTAAACATTGACCTAAAATGAACAAGGTAAATTTAACACAAGAGACACGTGTTCTCCAGAAGTGAAAAATGGGAAAGCACAGCCCTTTTTTTTTTCTTGTTTTTCTTTTTTTAAACGTATTTTTTTACATGATTATTTTTTTTTCTCTTCTCTTCCTAAGTGACCTAGGAGACACACACGATTCAAACCTACCCCTTCCTGGGAGCTGTAGCAGTCCTGGTATGAAGTTCTCTTTTGGACACCCATCTTGTGAAATGGAGAATTGGTCCCTGGTGACTTGGCACTGACCCACACAGCACTTCACCCACAGACTCACCCCTTGGGAACAAGGGAGTCAACTGAAGCAGCACACAAGGGAGTTTCTCATTCCTGTTACTTCTTCTGTGTATGAAGGCCCCAGTGACACCCGACAGCTTGTCCTGGGATTGCCATCCTGCAAAAGCCACCAGTTCATTGCTGAGTAACTGGCTATTGACTTCCAGGACCACCTGGAAGTTGTCCGGTCCATAATCCTCAGTCCTCCACATAGCCTCAACCAGCATCCAGTCAATGCTGCAAGATCTGTTCTCACGTGGTGAACCACAACAGGATATTTGTTAACATCTTGTCTTAGCAGGATAAGAAACAAAATTTAAAAAAAAACACAGAAAGAAAAAGTGTGGTGGGGGGTTATGAAGCAGCTCTGGACATTATGAAGCAGGGGATTCTTTTTATCATGATTAAAATTTTAAACATTTTAGCATAATCATAAATTAAGAGTTAAAACACAGAGGCGCTAATAATAAAATATTAAATAGAGGGTGATAGTGGAT